CCCAAGCCTCCCCCAGCCCACCCCCACAAGATTGGCAAGAAGATCAACTCTGCGCCGACCCAGATCCTCGATGTGTATGTATTCGGCGAGGGATCCTCTGGCGAGCTCGGTCTCGGCAGCAAGAAGCTTGACGGCAAGAAGGTTGTCGATGTCAAGCGCCCGAGATTGAACCCTAAGCTTGATGCCAAGGACGTCGGTGTTGTCCAGGTTGCCTGCGGTGGCATGCACGTCGTTGCTCTGACCAAGGACAACAAGATCCTCACATGGGGCGTCAACGACCAGGGAGCTCTTGGTCGCGACACCAACTGGGATGGAGGACTCCGCGACGCTGACGCCGAAGAGGAGGAAGACGACGAGGACGACTCCGGCATCAACCCCCACGAGAGCACGCCCACCGCCGTTGACGCGACGAACTTTGCTCCCGATGTCAAGTTCACTCAGGTCGTTGCCAGTGACAGTGCCACATTCGCCTTGACTGAGGATGGCAGGGTTTACGGATGGGGCACATTCAGAGTAAGCTATCTAACCGCAGCATGAGGTGATAAGTAGCTAACATTCTCCAGTCGAGTGACGGTATCCTCGGTTTCACCGACAAGATCCAGATCCAGAAGACTCCCGCCTACCTTCCCACATTGAAGAACATCACGGCCCTTGCTGCCGGCTCCAACCACATTCTCGCTCTTGACGACAAGGGTGTCGTTGTCGCCTGGGGCTGCGGCCAGCAGAACCAGCTTGGGCGCCGTATCATCGAGCGCAACAAGCTTTCCTCCCTTATCCCCCAGAGCATGGGTCTTCCCAAGAACAAGGTCGACCGCATTGCTTGCGGATCCTACCACAGCTTTGCTCTTGGCAAGGATGGTGCCGTCTGGGCCTGGGGTCTCAACAACTTTGCCGAGACTGGTATTGAGATGGGTGCTGGCGAGGATGACGCTGTTGTTCTGCGTCCTACCATTGTCGAGTCGCTCAAGAACTACAAGATCAAGCAGATTGCTGGTGGCGAGCACCACTCTCTTGCTTGCACCGAGGACGGCAAGCTCTTGACCTGGGGACGTCTGGATGGCCACCAGGTCGGTATCCCTGTCGAGGAGCTGGATGCGGAAAGCGTCATTAAGGATGAGAGCAACAACCCCCGCATTCTCTCTAAGCCTACTGCTGTTGAGGGTAAGTTCACCTGTCCATTCCTTACCGAGTGTCGCTAACGTAAGTCACTAGATATCGCCAAGTGTGTATACGTTGCCGCTGGTGTCGACAACAACTTTGCCATTGACGGAAAGGGCGAGGCTCACTCGTGGGGCTTCTCTGCCAACTACCAGACTGGTCAGGGCACGACTGAGGATATCGAGACCCCGACCACCATTGACAACACCGCTGTCCGCGGTAAGAAGCTCGTCTTCGCTGGCGCTGGTGGCCAGTACTCTATCCTGGGAGGTGTTGCCGACGTTCCCAAGGTCAACGGCTTCGCGCCCCAACCAGCCACTGGTGGTTTCAGACCTGTTTTCTAATCTCTTAGAGAAAAGGTTGAACCTTGACAGGGCGGCGGCGAGTTCCAAATAACAGCAAGCGGATACGACTGGCTTCTACAAGAACACGGATGATGAACGAGCAAGCGCCGCCATCACCAGAAACAAGAGGTGGACTCCATACATGAGCCGAGGCGGCATACCAATTCCAGTCGCGATGCTTTTTCCTTTGGTTCATTCTCAGCATGAGCCATTTTCACTCGCGGTACGATACATTCGTGCAACAATCTGATTTTGACGAGTTTCCGGTTTTTTCTCCAATGTCCCCTGAGCGGACTAATAGATTTTTTCTGGACGAGAGCGGCAGTGAGGCTTCGACTCGGCATGAACGGATGGGCAGGTATAGAAACGGCCTCGAAGGGGAGTCAAACTTATGATACCAACGAGGATTTTCTGCTCGACAAGGCCCCTCCTATTGTGTGCCTAGCGGAGGATCGTGACCGCCGCGGAGGCTGTTTGGCTATGGAGACTGATGATAGTCTCCTGTAATACTATGCTTGGTCTCGAGAAGTTATCAAGGTCTGATCCTCCCCTTTTTTTTACACTTGATGTGTATATTACGAGAGGATCTTCTAGCCCGGCATTGTGCATTTTTATCTTTTTTAGCAGCATGGAAAACGGAATGGATAGGAGGCATTGGACTATCAAAAAACTTATTTCTGGCTTCGTCTGAACATGATTAAAAGTATTGTACAATGACGTGAAGCATCGTCGATCCTTTGGCTTCCGCCTCCTCTGGTAGCCGTGGGCATGCATCTGTCTGTCTCGTTGCCTTGTTCGTCTATCGTGGCTCCTTTTTGGGCTCCTATTGGCTCTCGCACCTCTCCCGTGGCTCCCACAACTCTCAACTTCCATGGTATACACCAAAATGCGCCGTGCCCTTGTTGGTATGATTGGCCCTCTACAGTTCCGGCGTTTTCGAGATTCCTCGCGTGGCACCAGTTTGCCTTTTTGGTGATTCTAAGGTTTTCCTTCATGTTGTCACCCTACCTGCTCAACCCTTCAGCCCAGCCGCCGCCTTGGCCAGAGACCCGCCGCTGCCCCTAGAGCTGAAAATACCCATGATACCGAATCCGACGTAAAATAGCGCAAGCGGGTACGCCACGAGCCCGCGCATACCCCTCATCCGTCCAACAGCGCAAAACATGCCCGAGGCGGAGTACGTGCACCAGAGGATAGCCATGGTGGTGAAGACGATACCGAGGGGCGTGTCCATGGGCATGAAGACGCCGAACACGCTGGTGGCCACCAGAGGGAGGAGGCAGTAGCCCAGCACGGAGGAGGAGCGAGTGAAGGTCAGGGTCGAGGAGAAGTGGCCCGCGGCGTTGCGCGACGGGTGGTCGTGGTGGGTGTCCGGGGCGCCGGGGTAGCCTCCACCGACGGAGGATACGGGCCCGCCGTATTGGGGTGCCTGAGGTGCTGTTGAGGGGTGGGCGTCGGTGGGCGTCATGAGGGAGAGGATTATGTGGAGGGAGGTGCTTCCGAGGAGGGCGAGGCCGTAGATGTAGCCGAAGTGGATTTTGCCGGAGAGGAGGAGGAAGGTGCCGTACTGAGAGAGGAGAGAGGTTAGCTTTGTATTTGTGGTAGGGAAGGGAGGTGAGGTTTTGGGTTTTGCAACGTACGGAGAGGACGAAGAGTAGGGGACCGAAGAGGTCTGCGTCGTCCATTAGGTGTTGATCGATTCGGCGGAAGGGGTTCAGGACCGCCAGAGTCTGCAAATCATCGAAGGTCAGCCAAAATGCTCTCCCCATGTTCAGATCCATTCTTATAGAGGTTGGGGGAGCAAGTTCTCCCAATGCTTCAAGCCCAATCGCGCATCACACCCAATAAAACACACCTTTGCCTGAATATGCCCAAAGTTGACCCCAAGCTCCTCGAGCAAGGGCGGCTCGCCATCATAGCCTTCAGTCGAAAAGGCCGCCAGCCAACCCGTGCGCAGACCGCCCTGCTCGCCCATGCGACCCGATACACCGACGCCGCCGCCAGGAGGGGCGCCAAAGGCTGCCGCACCGCCGAAGCCGCCTGCCGCGGCGGGTTGGGCTCCGTAGCCGTAGGAGGCCTGTTGTGGGGTTGCGTGGCCCGAGACGGCGCCGGCTGGGGAGTAGGAGGAGGGGTAGAACTGGAGGTTTTGGGCACCTCCTCCTCCGCCGCCGCCGCCTCCTGCGCCGGGGCCGTAGGATTGTTGGGGTTGGTAGTAGTTTGACATCGTCTGCTGTGTATGTCGGATTTGAGAGGTTGAGGTTGAGGTTGAGGTATGTTTAGTATAGGTAAATTGGTTGGAGTGCCCTTTCGATTACTACCCCCTTGTCTGGAGTAGGCGCGCCTCGATTCCGTTTCGTTTCGTCGTCGGTTCGTGATAGGTGCCGTTGCAAATCTGGTTCCAATGGATTGTGTGTAGGATATAGGAGCTAGTCGTCGGTCGTGGGCTCGAGAGCCGTTTTGCGCCGGGGTTGCGAGGCGCGTTTGGGTGCGTGAGTGGACAGGTGGTACCTGGAGCTGGCGATATTGGAGACGTAGCTTCTTTCGAGGCTCACCACGTCAGTCAGGGCTGGTCGCTGGAGCTGTAGAGTGGGGCCGTGAAGAATCCTTCTTGCCTGAACCTTGAGGCATGTGAGTAATGCCTGTCAGGCAAAGATGTTTATCGATAAGATAGCTCTGCTGACGGGATCTTGCTATCGATAAGATAACGTCTGATCATGTTTCCCTCGGACCTTTTCTTGACGACCCTGGACCGGCATTCCTTGTTCCCCAGTTCTCCAGTTTTTGTGGACGTAGCAGTATATTATTCCACGAACACATTATGCATCAGTAGGATGAGATGAACTGCGGATAAAGCAACAGCTACGCATAAGTCACTAGATCATGTCATCATCCCGCTGAGATTGTCAACGTCACGCAATTCTCTCTTCTCTGCTGCAACTTGCAAGCATCAGCTCCAGCAAGTGTTTGCCTCCAGAGAGCGAACAACGGCAGCCAATTCCTCTTCCATCTAGCGTCAAACAAAGCGCAAATTTCTGCCCGCCAGATTAGGCAAGCAATTCTTCCAAGGATGTTCGTCCGGGGATGGACGCTTCTTCTGCCAGCCCACATAACCCAATCCCCAACCAAACAATACGCTTGTGGGCAGACTGCGGCAGTTTTCTGCTGCTCCTGACTCTCTTCACTGGAGCCCCTATCAACCCATGACATCGGTAACTGGCCACGAGGTGACTGGGCCGCCAAGCATCACGGCAGTGGACTTCCATCTCCACTCAAACCACGCAGAATCAGAAGTTCTGGACAACATCGCGAGGTCAGAGAGTGCATGCGCTCTCCAAGATGGACAAGTTTCCCTTGTTCTCATCTCATTCTAAGGTGCTTATGCTATCACTAAATAGACATTTGGTCCTCGGGCATGTTTCGTTCGAAAAGCCGACCATTTGGTGTCGTGACATTACTCAACTGAGTCGTGTGCCTGCTCAATACGATTTAAAGCCCTAGTCAACGTTCCATCGAGTCCGTGTACGGCTGCTCTCCGAGATGGTGGACTGAGATCTTCCGGTCGAGGCTCTCTCCGGTGCCCGAGGAAGTGGTGCGAGCTGCTTTTCCGTCGGGGTCGCTGGTGTACCGTCCTCCCTCGTGGCTCATAAACCGCGTATTACCTTCTTCAACAACCTCGACCGCATCCCTAGTAAGCCCAGGGAACCCCTCGTTCATGCGGTCCTGGGAATCTCTCGATTGCCGGGATTTCTATCCCACGGAGATGTCGATGGATCCTACCTCGAAGCCAGGTCTCCATCAAGGAGGCGGCCCTACGGTGGTGGAGTTTGTTTTCCACCAACGGGAGGACGGTCTGCTTTCTAGCCCAATTTAACAAGGGGGTCAATGGTGGTTGCGAATAGAATGCCACGGCCTGGATAGCAGCTGTCTGCAACGAAAGTACAGCGTTACTTTCATCAAGACCTAGACTGACAGCTCTCAGAGACGAGGGCTCCCTGTTGACGATGCGAAGTTTGTATTTAAGCTTGATGGCAGCCGGCTAATCGGCAAGAGCTGATCCCTCTCGATCAGTCTTCACTGCTGCAGTCATTCATTCCTTACCTTGCAATTGGTCTTTTTGGTTTTTTAACAGCAAACATGGGTCTCTACAGGTTCCTCATCGCCATCCTCCCGGTCGTCTTGGCCGCGGACCTCTACGTCGCGCCCGCCGGCTCAGATAGCGCTGCCGGGACTCTCGCTGCTCCTCTCAAGTCCATCCAAGTTGCAGTCGACAAGGCCGTTGCCGGCGACACCATCTACCTCCGTGCCGGCACATACTCGCCCACGACTAACATCAAGATCACCAAGAGCGGCACCTCCGCCAAGCCCTACACCCTGACGGCTTACAACGATGAGGCCGTCACCATCGACGGAGAGGCTTTGCCCGGCACCCCCGGCGCTCTCGACTCCTCTCTTGCCAACGCCGACCGTGGTGTTCTTCACATCGAGGGGGCCAACTACTGGAAGTTTTACAAGTTGACCATCATCAACGGCCCCTACGGCGTCTACCTCCGCGACGGATCCAACAACTACTTTGAGCGCATCGTCACCCACGACAACTACGAGACGGGCTTCCAGATGCAGGGCTCCCTGAGCAACAACCAGGTCATCTACCTCGACTCCTACCGCAACCGCGACCCCCGCAAGAACGGCGAGAGCGCCGACGGCTTCGCCTGCAAGGAGGGCTCCGGCACGGGTAACATTCTGAAGGGCGCTCGTCTTTGGGAGAACGTCGACGACGGTTTGGACCTTTGGTTAGTTATATCTTCCCACATCCCCCCATCCCACCTAAACACCGGCTAACAAACACAACAACAGGGAGTTCAAGTCCCCCGTCACCATCATGGACACCATCTCATGGGGCAACGGCGTGAACCGCTGGGGCTTCACCGACTTCCAGGGCGACGGCAACGGCTTCAAGCTGGGCGGCGGCGACGCCGCCGACGTCGGCTCGGCGAACCACGTCATCACCAACAGCATCGCCTTCAACAACGTGGCCAAGGGCTTCACCGACAACAAGCAGCCCGGCAACTTCCAGTTCACACGCAACACAGCCTACAACAACGGCGCTGTCGGCTTCCAGACCATCACGACCAAGTCAACGCTCAAGAGCAATGTCGCCGCCGCCAACTCGGCGACCACGGCCAAGTCGGGACAGACGTCGCTCGTCAGCGGCACCACCAGCAGCGGCAACTCGTGGGACGGCAGCGCGACCTGGTCCGCTTCGAGCTTCAAGAGCGTCGATGTTAGCTTGGTTAAGGGTGCGCGCCAGGCCAACGGCAAGATTGTGGCGAGCAACTTCTTGATTCCTACCTCTGGTGAGGCCATTGGTGCCACCACCACCTGGTCCTAGATCTCGTTTTCACGTCTTGGAACATACTATCTTATCCCGTAAATAATTCATCTGTACATACTTAGACTGCCATAGAGCGGAGTACATAAACCAACCAGTACATATCCTCTTACCTATAAGACTCTTCTGCCTTATTCAGCGCTAGAGATTTTGCCTGAATGATTTGTCCCCTGGAAGCTTCGGAATGGTTGCTACTCAGTCACGGAGACTGATGTACCAAGATTCTGAACAGTCGGGTCGGCCTAGTAACCCCTCGAGGTTGTGCTGTGAATGCCTGCGCCAACTCCTATTCTTCATCGTGCTCTCTATGCAATAAACAACATGAGCATCAGACACTCGAGGTGAAATTTAGGTTCCATGGGTATGCAGTGCCGTCGAGACGTTGAAAGAGAGCACAAGCGCAGCGGAACATTTCGACGATGGACTCAAACTCAAAATCAAGCCCCGTGCCCTGTTGACAAGGGGAATCCATTGCTCATTTCCCGCGGGTATCAGTGTGAATAACAAGCCACAGGAGAGGCGGCCTACTTGAATCAGTGATGTGGCTGAGGAGACCATATGTGGCGCAGTATGCACGGAAGGCCCGAGAAAAAAATTGTCGGCGCCCGGCCAAACCCGCTCCTCCGAAGCGCAGGAAGCTCGGAATTTCTCGTCGGCAATTTCCATGTCGTCGATGGATTTTTTTGGATAGGTTGCGAGCCATCTTTACGCCCAGCGCCCCCCCGTATCAGCCAAGCTGTACTGAACACGCGCGACATCGCATCTCGGGTCCCTGTATACCGTGCGATCAGTCATCGAGCATCGATCCGCCTCCATCAACAACATCTCTACCGCCCTTCGCGCAGAGGCTACTAATACAGCAAACATGGTGAGTTCGCCTCTAGCTTTCCCCTCCTAACCTACTCTCTCTCTCTCTCTCGCGCGCGCGCGCCCCTTCGAGCCCGAATGCGCCGCCAGAGCTCATCAACCTCATACCGATCCCGCGAAGCGAAACCCGACTAACCCTCGCAACCTTTAGGCGTACCGCCTCATCACCCAGGTCGTCTTCGTCGGCACCCGCATCGTCGGTCGCTCCTTCGCCGCAGCCTACAAGCAAGCGCAGGCCTCCTCCGAGTACGCCCGCGCGCAAGCCAAGAACGGCAACGCACCCGCCGGCACAAAGGGTGCCGGCTCCGGCGGCTCGGGCATGACCCTCGACGAGGCGTGCAAGATCCTCAACGTCGAGGCACCCGGCAAGAACGGCGCCGACGCCAACCCGGGCGAGGTCATGGAGCGCTTCAAGAAGCTGTTCGACGTCAACGATCCCAAGAAGGGCGGCAGCTTCTACCTCCAGAGCAAGGTGCTCCGGGCGAGGGAGAGGTTGGAAAAGGAGATTGGGCCGTTGGTGGAGAAGGAGGAGGTCGAGGCTGAGGTGAAGGAAGGCTTCAAGCCCAAGATTTACAAGGACCGGTGAACTGCCACCGCAAGAACTGCGGCGGCGGCGGCGGCAGGACGGTCGTCACGAGGACGCTGACGCAGTAACGGACAACGAAGGCTTCTCCTGCGACGAGCGATCTTAGGCCGGGCCAGACCGAACCGATGTACGAACGGACCCCGACGGAGGGATGGGAGGGGGTATGACCACTGAGCGTGCTCTGCCAAAGAGCTGCTCGAGGGTCAGAAAACTGTATTGGAACAAACTTCACTCGACTCCGCATGGCATGGCGTTTTTAGGAGGTGGAATCTCTTTTTTGATTATTTTGGCGCGCGCGCTCACGGCACCGCCAGCATTGGCACGGTTAGACGATAAAAGGGGGCTTTGCGCGAAGAAAATTTGTTAATACTACTGTACTATAAAACATGATGGGAAGAGAAGGAGAAAGAGAGACGGGGGACTTCGGACCGATGGGAACAGGTCTTGAGAGAATGCAAACACCATATTGCTACTCACGCATAGAGCCAATGAAATGCGTCTCACGCTTGATTGAGTTGTTGACTGGTGGCTCAACGTTGCTTGGATTCTGGCATTTTTTCACGACTTTGGGTGAACATGTTCCAGTGCCATGCTGACCGACTGTGTACATTAATTTTGACTTATTCAATCCTTTTCAATTTACATTATCTCATTATTTCGAGCAGCCAACCGCCCCTCCGATACTCGGCCTACATCAAGTACCTCACAACAATGCAGGACATCCATCCCCACCTATCAACACAGAACTACATGCCTCAAAATTCTGACCAAACACAAAAAGTGAACTGATCGCGATGATCAGTCCCGGGTAAATGCCCAGAGGCGGATTCGAACCGCCGTCAACACGGATCGCTGTATAGAAGAACCACAACGTATCATCCTAACCAACTAGACGATCTGGGCGAATTGAAGCTTGCATGTGTCTCCTTGGTGAGGGTGGAAGCTTGGTTGACAGGTCCGCTCGGAAACGGGTCTATGGACTCTCAAGTGAGGTGGGAGACGAGATGCGTGAGGGCTTACGCGCGGTGGAGCAGGTGGGTGTATTCTCCGAGGGCTGCATGGAAGTCTCGTGTAAGACTTGAGAGATGGGTAGAAGAAATATGGCTTTAGAAGTTATTGTCCAGACTCCAATGGTTTGATTGAAATGCGTACCATTGTTCTTGATGAAGCTTGTCTGCGTTGCTAGGGTTGAATTTCGAAGAGCTCTCGAACGACAAGTCTATGATCTAGCGAGTCTCAAGACACTGAGAGATGATAACTCCGGACATAAAGCCCTAGTACGAAGTACATGCAACGAACAATACCAATTTTCTCATTCCACGCCATGAAGAGGGTCATCAGCAGCTAGGTTTTCGTCAGGCATGTCAATTATGCCTGGTCGTTCATCTGCGAGACATATGACTGTTGACCATATTCAGAGCCTCAGATAAATCATCCGTTTTGACCCTTTCCATATACTGCGCCCCATTCTCACTTTGCATCTGGACCTCCCCAGTTCCAGAACCCCGAGCAGCCCTCCGTCGCTCGACAACCAGCCACCGCGACGCTGTCACAATAGCCCGGACAATATCCACAAAGTTGAGGGCATCCTTCAACGCTCTCCATTGGAAGCCCCGCGCAGAGACGCTGGTCTTGGCGTTAGGCCGAGTAGAGCCGTCAGCTCCATCCCAAACGCCGCATGCATCCTGCTCTTCTGCTCCTGGCCCTCCATTCGCAGTCTCAGGCTGCTGAGGCCAGACTTCTCGGCTTCTTACAGGGATGATTCGCGTCGCAGAGTTCTGATCTGTGCCCTGCCCATCTTCGTCGCTGGCATTATGTCCGGTGTTTTTCGGTGCCGCTGGGTCTTTGTAAATGGAGTAGGGGTAGGCATAGAGGTGGAGGATTGATACGGCTGCCATCTCGAAGCATAGGAGTGTGTTGGGAATACCGACTGCCCATGACGGGCGCGAGATGTATGCTGTTGGTTTCAAGGGGCCGCCGTCGCCTGTGAGGAACTCGAAGATGCCCTGATGTAACTTCTGTGTTAGCACATGTTCATGATATATGACGGCCAGGAGAGGAGGCTGTTGGGAGCCACCTCTCTAAAGAGGGGAGGTTTGCACTCACGGTCTGAACGTAGAACAGAAACACCACTAGCTTGATGGCGAGGAATTTGAGCAGAGGTCGATGCTGGGCCATCTCCTTCGAGGTTTGGTGGTAGAATTGCAGCAGGCACATCATGGCTGTGACGAGGGACAAGATCTCAATGACCATGACCTACTCGTTGTCAGTGTCTCTAGTCTTCGTTCTCTACCATGTTCGACTCTCGAGAATCTTGTCTTCATTGGGATCTCACTTACCCAGATCTTGGCATGGCTAGGATCCTTGGATTCCTTACAATACACGTCCGCGGCTTCCGTGATGCACTTTGTGAGAGCACCGAAGAACTTAACAGTACAGAACTGGAAGACTCCAAACCAAATAATCTAGCAAAAATTAGTCAGACGCAGGCTATGTAAGAGACACCATGTTTTTGAGCTGCATTCACTCACGTTGAACCATTTCAGGCCGTCCTCAGTTTGTCCTCTTTTGTTTCTTCCGACATGCTTGACAAAGAACCGCGTGGGATTGAGCCACTTCTTCGGCTCCACCAAGTTGAAGACCCGGCGTAATGTATTCAGATCGGGATGCAGCAGCTGGCAGAGTAACAGGAAGAAGGACGCGATGACTAAAGACTCGTAGAACTCGTAAACGCTTCCAATGTACACCTGCTTCTTGTAGAAGACGATACTCAGACTGCATGCGATGGAGTAGACTGGGACCATCAACAGGATCCGGATTATTCTGTGCAAGAATGTCTTTTTGTCAGAACCCATGAACGATCTATGATGGGAGAGTGCTAGGAAACGAGATATGCGGAACTCACTGCTTCTGTTCTTTGGGTTTCGTGTAGTTGCTCGCGTGTCTGAAGATGAGGTATGCCGTAGCACAACAGGCGACTATGGTTGCTCCTGCTGATAGAGATATCAACAGGCCGTGGACTCGGATACCGCCACTGAGCTTCTGTTCGATAACTTGTAGTAGATTTGTCAGACGTGCCTTCGACCGATATTGTCATATATCTTAACGTACTTGGAACATCCAGAGGATGCTCTTTGCATTTCGCCATTGAATCTTCAGGACGGTCCAATTTCGTAGAGTGTCACTCTCGAGTCAAACGGTCCAGGATCTCGGCTCGCGTCTTCGTTCAGATCACAATGGGAGTCACCTTCGGTTTCGTAGATTTTCGCGCTCTTCCGTGCTCTCTATCCTCCCGATTCTTCTCTTATGGCTGTCTTTTTATCGTTTCTGGTTGCCTTCTCTTTGTGATGACTGTCAATGAGAAAGTATAATAAGACAGATTATCTGAGATAAAACCAGACTTGAAAGAGCGAGAGACCAGTACCATATCAAGAGCAGATACTGAAAGAAAACAATTATGAAAGGCTACACGGAATTAGCAATGAGAATATACATCCTGCGCCTCTGGAGCCCAGGCTTTCTTATCAAGTGAGTAAAAGCTTAGGTAACTACATGAAAGGACCAATCTCGCCCAAGCTTTCTGCGTTCTCTCAGCATCGTAGCCAATTATTACCTCACCTATCCTAACGAGACAAAACCTGACGGATCTGCGAGCCTAAGATCATAGTGACCAATAGACTTTCGAATATCCTGAACTAGGTAGATTGAATAGCTCTCTCCCCCATTTTACAGTCTTTGCCCAGCCGTACTTTCCGCTGACTTACTCGTGTAATTGTAACTTTACGCGCAGACGTTGGCTTGAAATCTCTTGGAATATTAAGGTTTCGTTACAAAGCCCAGGCGCGAACGCAGTGACAAGGGTCAAACCCCCACTAGGCTGAGCCGTCATAGCCACACTTCACACGTCAACGGGAGATTCGGGAAGACCCGTTCGTATATCTAACGGCATAACCCAGTCTCGGCATGGAGTAATCCGTTTGGTCGACGTCCTTTCGCCCTTGATTATAGAGTACCTGATTCGTCCGCTTTTGCCCCATACGGTTGTAAACGCGACGGAACCCGAGGTACGAACACGAGATACGAGCTAGGCAGTTCGTCAGTTACAGACTCGCCTGCTCCAGACTTTGGGGGTTGACAGATCTGCCTTGCTAGGCCTTGGCGGCTTCGAGTGCCGGCTTCCCCTAAATAGGCATTTGCCCCAATCTTGCACTATGTGAACACAGTTACCGTACCCGTAGCTGAGACACGGACTTCGGTCTCTAACTACAGGCCCTGATTGAAGATTATAATATCATTACCCGCGTAAAGTGCGAGCTATCATTGGTTCTGCCTACCGTAGCCTGCGCTTCCAGTCGCTGATCTTTATGTTCATCCTACCCCACGATCATGACACAGCCCCATAAATTATCTTGGTGGATAGTCTGTAGTTTCAAGCAAAGCATGAGGCGGGATTGAGAGACTTTAAAGACTCCGGAGCCGTACGGAGCTTGAGTCAGTGTTTGTCAATGCAAGTTACAGTGCCTGAACATCGTGAGCCTCGATGCTGACTGGTCAAAAGTTTCGGCTCCCACCGCTTAGCAAAGTGGTGAAACATCGGCTGCATTCTAACGAATGGACATATGCTACCCATATACTATGGCGGAAAAGCGGTAAGAAAGAAAGAAAGAACAAAAATGGGAACGCAAGGCGCACTTGACAAAGGTGATTGCCCGCATGTTCATCGGATCGGTTGACATCAGTTCGTCTGAATTCCGTCCCGATGTCATGACTGACGACAGTCTATCGTGCGGACGCAGTATCTCGCCTTTCGGCTTTGCAAGCGATTCCCGATATGTGGTTTACCATCAACGTTGTAGCGAATGAGAACGTTTTGATTTGTAGTCCTCTGCCTCATGTGAGATGGGGGAGAGCCATGCCTAGGGTTGAAGCTCGCTAGGAGCTGTCCGTTGAGACCCATTTCAAGACCTGGTATGGAATTCAGAGTCGAGATAATTTCCGTCATCCTAAGTTGATCAGTTATTGGCTCCATGACGATGCTCCTGAGAGGCATGCTGAACAACTAAATGTTCTTCACATAAGGAGGCCATTCCATGAAGGTTGAAATGGACGACTCTTGACGAAGCAGCTCTACTTATATCTTACCACGCCCTGTCGACCATCACAACAGCAAACTGATCTCCAAAACGAGTCACAATGGCTTCATCTTCACCAATCGCGTCCGCTTTCTCATGGCTAGGCAAAGAGAACAGTCCAAGCCCAACAATCCAGCCGTACGGCTACATCGCCACTGCCTTCTTGGTCGTCGTCTTTTCCATCTTCCTCAAAGTTTCCAAACACGACGATTTACCCCTCCTGCAGCCACCGCCAAAGTGGTTTAGACCGACCTTCCTAGCACAGATTGAATTCTTCAAAACAGGAAAGGAACTGATTGCGAGAGGGAGAGCCACGTTGCGCGACAAACCCTACAAGGTCCTTGCAGAGAGTGGGGAGATTATTGTTCTGCCCACTCGTTTCGCCAATGTCATCCGGAATGAGGAGGGACTAAGCTTCGGGGCTGTGATCATGCGGGTGAGTTCACAGGGCCGTGAAGACTACCCAGGGTGGTTCTTTAAGACGTTTTATTTGGGGAGCTCTTGTTATACTGACATTTTTGCTCAATTTGTAGGACCTCCATGGCAAAATCCCGGGATTTCAGCCGTTCGGATTTGTTGACGACGATAAGAAGATCCTGCAAGTAGTTGCTCGCAAGCAACTTACCAAGTCGCTCAGTAAACTCCACGAGGTTCTGACTCTGGAAAATACAAGTCGATAGCTGACGAAAATTCATCTGGCAGATACCATCACCGAACCGCTCTCTCTCGAAACCGCGTTCGCAGCAAACCTCATCTTCGGCGAATCTCAAGGTAGATATCATGGCCATCTCCTAGATTCCTCGGCATGCCTTTCTTTGGAACCAAAACTAACAATCGCCGCTTCAGAATGGCACCAACTGCCCCTAAAAGACACGGTCCTCGACCTCGTAGCCCGCCTCTCCTCCCGCGTCTTCCTCGGCCCAGAACTCTGCCGTAACGAAGACTGGCTCCGCATCACAAAGGACTACACTGTCCTCTCCTTCACCGCAGCCGTCAAGCTCCGCGCCGTGCCCTTCCGTCTGCGCCCCCTGCTCCACTGGTTCTCCGCAGACTGCAGACGCACGCGTGAGTCCCTCGCCGAGGCCCAGAAGCTCATCGCACCAGTCATTGAAAAGCGGCGCGCGGAGAAACGGGCAGCCGCTGCCGGAAGCCAGGCTGCTGAGATGTCGGTGTTTAACGATGCTATTGAGTGGGCTGAGGCTGAGGCACAGGGAGGGGCGTACGATGCTGCCACTTTCCAGCTCACGCTCTCCTTTGTGGCTATTCACACTACGACGGACCTCCTTGCCCAGACGCTCATCTACTTAGCCAGGGAGCCGGAGCTGATCGACCCCCTGAGAGCCGAGATCGTAGAGGTCCTGAAAGCCGAGGGATGGAAGAAGAGCGCGCTGTATAACATGAAGCTCCTAGACAGCGCCATCAAGGAGACGCAAAGAATGAAGCCCGTCTCCATGCGTAAGTCCACCGCCCTCTCCATTACATACAACAACCCAAAGCCTCCAATTACTTAATCACTTCTTCGACTACAGTCCTCATGCGCCGCCTCGCCACCAAAGACGTGACCCTCCCAGACTCCAACATCACCATCCGCCGCGGCGACACCGTCTCCGTCGACACCTACAGCTCCATCGACCCGACCGTCTACGAACACCCCGAGACCTACGACATCCACCGCTTCCGCCGCATGCGCGAGCAGCCCGGCGGCGCCAACAAGGCGCAGCTCGTGACGACGAGCCCGGAGCACCTGGGCTTCGGCCACGGCTTGCACGCGTGCCCTGGCCGGTTCTTCGCCTCCAACGAGGTGAAAGTTGCGCTTTGTCACTTGCTGTTGAAGTACGACTGGAAGCTGGCGCCGGGGTCGCCTTCGGAGCCTGTGATTACGGGCGCGTCCATGAATGTGAATCCGAAAGCTGTGGTGATGGTTAAGAGGAGGGTGGAAGAGTTTGACATTGATAATCTTGGGTTTGGGGACCTGGAAGCTTGAGATTCATGAGTCTGGTGGTCTTGTTGTGGAGAACATCTTCATTGAAGCAGTTGATCGTTGCTTCTAAGCAATTTGCTCTCGTTTACTGAAATAAATAAAACATGCAAAAGGGCTTGGACTTGGCTCGAAAAGTAGGAGTCTTGACAGCGTGCTCTCCAGAGGGACTAGAAATCCCATCCCCTTTTCATAGCCTCGTATCAAGAAGACTCAGAATAATGACAAACTCATGAAGTTTACAGGAAGAAGCAACATTTCATGGCTGGAACCTACAACGTGAATCATGACAGGAGAACTACTCACTTGCAAAGCCAAGCCGTTGCTCATGAACTGCGGAGGAGTGGACGACAACAGCACCAAAACCAGCGATAGCAACATAAATAGCCTCGAGACCATTCACCAACGTGATTACCAGCACTCTCCAACGTCATCCATCACGAACAAGTACAAGGATTCAACCATCCGAAGAGACCTTAACGCACCCCATGGAGTCGCGACAAGATTTTGCATAATATCGTGACAAAGACGAGGGCGAGACGAAAGTGCCGAACACTAGCAGGGCCCCAAAAAGCTGCAACTAAGTCATCGAAATCGCCATTGAGGGCCTCATGGTGGCGCCGTAGATCCCTTCTGCACCCCGCTGGCGGCCTTTATAAAGTGGCCTCGTGGAGCGTGAACACTCCGCAAAGCAAGAATGCGCCTCTCTTGAAGAGGCTGTTCGATCGGAGAGGCAAGATCTTGCGTTCCTAGTTGTGTTAAGCGACGATGGAAGGAACTTCATGTTGCATGGATACTTGATTTATGCACCAGCAGCATATGCACCAGCAGCATATGCACCAGCAGCAGACAATCAGTAGTCTCGCCCTCCCCGCTTCTCTACAGTATTCGCGTCTGTATACTCTCAAAGAGGGCTTTAGCGAAAGAATCCGACGTGTCTCAGTCTCAATTAACAGTGTTGTCGTAAGAGGGCCAGGGGAAAATGCACCTAGCAAGTCTGCATCAAGAGGAATTTAAATTCCATGACCCGAGGAGTCTAGCTTCAATGGCAGAGACTGTGTGGGGAGAAACACGTAGCATCTCCGCTGGCCGATAGCATTATATACTTACTTTTTCTTGATCAACACTTGCACCTAGCTACAGGTTACGCCAGGAAACACAGTTGCTCAGTTCAAGGTGTTCCATGCGAGACGGGACTCATGTTACGCCTATTCACACGGGAAAGGGGCAAGGTAGCGATTAGATGGAGAAAATTCCGAGGACACTAAGAGAATGATCCTGCAAAGTGGATGATGCGGAGTACACGTCGAAAATGGGAGACGCAATGTACTTGCTAGATCTTCTGGAGCTAATACGTTGTTACTGAGAAAGACGTTGTACATGGGACAATACTGCAGACTAACAAAGGAGAGACACAGGACCAAGCAGCCGAATACCACCAAAGGGTAGCCAGCGGCAGTACCGTCAGCTAGGCAAGCTCATGTTCCCAGACTTGCGCGCATAGCAACACCGTCAGGAGAGAACCTAGAGGTAGCATCCGACTAGCCAAGTAGATCCCTCCTCAGTATCTCCCTCCAGAATCTTCAGCATCTTTAGCTGAACATCCTATGGAGGGCTGCTCCTTTGTATTTGATTTCGCAAGGTATCAACTCAAGATCTGTCACGTTGCAGGTAGGGTCGCTGGCTGACTTGATCTATCACATCAAGAGGTCTCTTAGACTGAACTGAGAAATCTACAAGCTTTGGCTAGCAACTGTTTGTCTATCGTCTAATACTATGCAAAGTACCCGATAGTTGACAAGTCTGGCAGTTTATACGTCTACGGGATGCTCGAGACGGACTTACAAGCCTCAACGAGCAAGGTACGCCGGGGGGAAGGGTAGTTGTTCAAGGGAGGGAAGAGAACAAACGCCGGAGCGCTTGAGCCAGAGTGATACACACTACATCGTTGAGAGAGACACCGTACTAACAGGAATCGCCCGCTCATCATCATACATTGCCTGCTCGCTCACGTTCACATTGATGCTCCAACGACGCCGAGGTCCAACGGTGTCTCGAACGGCCCGAGAGTGCGCTCATCGCAATAGAAATAGGCTTATGATTGTTTCGCCCACCCAGATGCTCCCTGCGAAGCCATTACCGGATTCAGCAAATCACTTGCGATGTTTGGGGAAAATGTGTGTGTATGGCTGACTAACTTACACTTGAGAGTCAACCGACGTTGAGCTACATCAGACCAACAAGAACGCCTCGTCCAGCAGTCGACAATCCACGCTTAGACTGTAAAGTCTGTGTGGTCAATGTGGGAGCCAAAGAGATGGTATGCCCATGGGAGGAAACCTTAGCATAACATATCGACTGTTTGGACGAGACGGAAATGGTCGCTTCCAGATCACGATATTAGACTTTTTGGCCGATTTACGACAACGTTTTGGGTGGAGGGGTCGACGACGTAGATCGTCCCCGCATGTTGCCTCTTTCGGATGACCGAGTCGGCTCCGACTGAGCGGTTGACTAAAACTCCCATACGGATATCCGTCTCGTTCAGCGGTTGAGATCCGAGAATCAGCCGCAAGCTTACCATTTGTGCCTCGACGAGAGGGATGACATGTCTGCGAGGTTTCTGGAAAATCAGTGTAGTGTAATGCAGGCGCCGGCCACTTTGAGAGCAGAATAGGTAGTGGAAAGACAAGAGTAAAGAGGCCCATTGGAGGAAACTCTATCTGGGTTCTTGGCTGTCAGCATCCGGCACAAACAAGTCTGTGGATGACTCTTTCGGCGTGCAGTTAGTCGTCAGGGGACAGGGCGGTCTGTGACGAGTTCAAGCGATCATTTCTCTCGCTGGGAGCCAGTCTGAAGTCGGGTAGAAACGCCACGCTGTCGATCGGATGCTGCCACTGGCGAGCGAATTGACATCGTTCGTTCGGGGGTGTGGGGGAGAGTAGCAAAGAAGAGGAAGAGGATGAAGTGAGGATGAAGCAGCGCTGCATAAGCTTAGAGCCAGGCGTACGTGCTGCATGCTGCACCGAGTGTTGGGTGGTTGAGTTGGCTTTCGCGTTCATGTTTCGTGTCGCGGCACTTGAGGCCGAGCCGATCAGGCTGATGTGGGCATGATTGCTAAAGGCGAGCGAGGTACGGAGTACGGTAGGCCATGTGCATGCGTGCGAGGCGTCACGCGAAGGTCGTCGACCAGGCTCTAGCTGACAGGAGACGGACGGACTTTTTATCAATGTGTAATTAGCGGGTCTTGGCTAGTCTTCACGACGTGAGGTGTCTGGGGTTGAGCTGTGCATTTCTCATCAGCCTTGGAAAGTCGGGGGCCAGGTGCCAGGCCAGGTCGCCAGGGTAGCGGTATGTTCTGTATCCGTAGTGCTGCTATCTCTCTTGAGTCTCTTCTGGTTTGCGAGATTGAGGAACATCATATACCTTGTCCGAGGCTTCGGCCGATTGCCGCCGAGACTCGAACGGCAGCTGCACCGTGCCACCGTCAGGTAGGACGGGGGAACGCCCACCAGGTGTGTGACTTGCGGCGGGAGGGCGCGCGGAAGGCGTGGCGGCGAGACACTAATTTAGCAAAGGAAAGTCTCCGACAGGGTGAGGCGCGAGGGTGCATTTGTCGTGGAACAGTGACTTGCTGGGCTTGAATTACTCGCAACAATTCTTGCTGACACCTCAATGGCCTGTATCCGTTGTAGAAGATAATTCGACCTGTCATTAGTGTGTCTGCTAGGCCCTCGAGTTTTTGCTTTTTGGTTCAGTTGCCATGATTTGCAGTCTAGAAGTGACTCATTCTGAAGACGGGCTTGGCGAAACGGAAATGTCCAGGGTTGCACCGGTTGCTTGATCAGCCGGAGGATAAGACGAGTGGGAGACGTCCGTAGGAGAGTGATAGGAGTCCCGTTGGAGGAAACAGGTCGGAGGGGGAAACAGGGCCGTGAGATTGAAATCTCGTCAATGATCAGCGTCAACGTTGATGGAGAACCGGAGCTGATTCAACGTCCAAGAAGACCTCCGTTGCGGCGGACGAAGCCGGCGGTGGAATGCTGCTGGGACCAGGGGAGCAGGGAGGCCGCGGGGCCCGGTCCACATTGAATTGACGACTTTTTGGTGTCCAGAATTCGAATTGCTGCTGTGCCAAAAACCTCAGCTGGGTTGCGGTCGGAGGGTAAGACTAATCGACTGTAAAGGCTTATGTAAGGGGTCAGCGACAATCCACAATGGAAGCAGATACTAGTCGTAATTGATCCGCACGCAATTTAGCATATGAGGTCCCTGCCAGGCTGTAAGACAGTGGGTGGGCGGGATATCCGTACGAATAATACGGGTCCTCGATCCTTTGTCGCAAAAGGACTTTTAGATGTGCGGGCCTGATGCGAGATGGAGATGAATAATAATGGTTCAAATATGCTTGTTTGACTGGCGGGAGGCTAGCGGAGAAGTCGCGGAAGACTGGCGGAAGCATGGCGGGAAGTCCGTGGTGGAAAACCCGGTGAAATGACCGGACAGAATGCGTTTGGATAGAGGAGGTCTGATGAGATGGAGCGAGGATGGGAAGCCAATTGTAGAGTGCGATACTTGAATGCAAATAATATTAGTTGTAGCTGGCAGTGATGGCGATGTGGTGGGATAACCGTGGTTGGAGTTCGAGATCGAAACGAGAGGTGCATATTCGGAGAGAGAGAGACCCTTCAAACCTGGACTGCTCTTTCCCTCTTCTCTCTCTACCTCATTGGCTCGCCTTTGGAGGAAGGAAGCTGATTCAGCAGCACTAATCCAAAACAAGACACTGTAGCCCTTCTTGCCTTTTCTTTCTCCACATTTTGCCGGATGACTCGAAACCGATTGCCAGGCCCCACACTCCTGACAAGCGCGGATTTCAGATGTTTTGACTGGCCAATGTGGCTGTCCTTGGCCAGGTGGGCAGTGACCAACCAGACTGTGAGAATTCAATGTGGAAGGAACGTGAAAAAAAAAGAGAAGAAAGAAGGACCAAAAAGTCCAAGGAA